AAAACGTTTTAAAAAAACAATTAAACTAAACTAAATTTTACATTTAATAAAGTTCACTCAAACGTTTTATTTTGGTTAATGCTTCAGAACATTATTTAAAATGTCAGTTCGAGAACTGCTAGAAGGCGAATGTGGGGCTGAAAATTCTCTCGTAAGATTGGGTGGTCATGCCGCTAGAGACACTGCCTTTAAAGATGAGGGATTTAGCAGAGCACAAAATGCTTCTGCAGGTTTTCGACCAGAGCCTGGGGTCTTAAATGAACAACAGTTAGTTAATGAGTTCTTTAGAGAGTTTTCAGGACCTCCACAGGTATGATATTTCAATTTGAAACGATGAATGAAATTGTATATATCAAATAAACCTAATAGTTTTGATTTATTGTTAGACATTCAATATGAAAGATCTCCTTAATGAAATAAGACAAGTTGAACCTCATCCAGTTGTACAACCAAATGAAATTTGGAGTACTGAATTTGTAACACACAATCCCCCTCCTATGCAGCAGGTTTGAAGAAAATATATCTATATATCATATATATATATATATATATATATATATATATATATTATATACATTTTTATTATAAGGATCTTGCATTGCAATCAGTTTGGAATGATATTCGAGAAGAAAGTGCAAAAAATGCTATATACCCCAGTCCGTGGGTTAATGATTTTATTCAAGGGCAAGACATGACTCAATCAAATTCCAAGGTAATGTTAGACTCAAAACATATAATTATTCAAAATATTTTATAATCAATTTACAATTTAACAATTTAAATATTTATTAAAAAATAGGAGTTTGATGATTCCAAAGCAGCAAGGGAATCTGCAAATGCCTTAATAAACTCTATTGACAATAAAGGTTTTTTTTCAGAATCAGAGGTATTTTTTTAAAATAATATATATTAAAAATTGATTATATTTATTTGTTAATATGTAATATTCTGTGTTATGTAGTTCATGCAATTTATGAATCGAGTTGGGTCTGGTCAAACTATTATAAGAAATCAGCAAGTAATTGACAATGGACCTACTGACTGGGCAGCTGAGTTTGCAAAACATGCAAAAGAAGAAAATACTTTGGATAATGTAGCAGATTGGGCGAAAGAATTTGAAGAAACTCAACCACAAGCAGGTAAGGAAATTGCCATATTGAATAAAATTGCATTCTATCATATGTTAATTAATAACATTTACTTGTTAACATTCTAGATGCATTGGCTGAAGAATTTAATACCAAATACTGGAACAAACTACAAGAAGAATGGAAAAATATATCAGCGGCAGACCATCCTTGGATATCAGAGTTTTCCGATTATTTTGAACCTTATAAAGTATTTAAAATATGTTTCTTTCTGAACAAATTTGCTGCATAAACTTCAATATTATTATTATTAATTTAAGGAGTATAAATTTTCTGAAGACAACCCTATGAAAGAAATTCCAAATCCCTTAGAATTAGGTAAAAGTTATCTAGAAAGGGGTATGGTGCCAAATGCAGTACTTTGTTTTGAAGCTGCTGCCTTTAAAGAGCCAGATAATGCAGAGGCATGGCTACTTCTAGGCAAAACTCAAGCAGATAATGAACAGGTTCTTAAAATATTAACCACATAATATATTATCCAACTTTATTTTAATCAATAAAGTTTATAGGATTCGCAAGCCATTGCTGCCTTACGCAAATGCTTGACCATCACACCTGGTGATTTGACTGCCTTGATGTCTTTAGCAGTTTCATATACTAATGAAAGTTATCAATCACAAGCATGTAATAGTTTAATTCAATGGATGAAACATCATCCTGAATATCATGATTTAGTGCCAGCAAATATGGCCACAGATAATTGGGCAACATCTTTTGTAAATTAGTAAGATAATTAATAAAGAAAATTTGAATTTGTTCATGATAATAAAATAATTTACAACATTATAGTAATCAACAGCAAGAAGTTCAAGAATTGTTTCTCCGTGCAGTGCAACGAACACCCAATAAAATTGATCCTGATGTCCAAGGTGCACTTGGAGTGTTGTTCAATTTATCTCAGGAATATGATAAAGCTGCTGAATGTTTTAATACAGCATTGCAGGTATTTTATTATATATTTTTCTTTTTAATTCTGGTCCTTTAACATATTTTCAATAGTATTCTTATAATGCCTTTATATATATGCTTTTTCTTTAACAGGTGAAGCCAAATGACTTTATACTATGGAATAGGCTAGGAGCAACTTTAGCAAATGGTAATCGATCAGAAGAAGCTGTTGATGCCTATCATCGTGCTTTAGAATTACAACCTGGATTTATTAGAGCTAGGTACAATGTCGGAATCACATGTATAAATCTCAATGCATACAAGTAAGTTGATACATCTTTTTTGGTTTACATGCAGGTATAATGTCCAATTAAAATATACATCTCGTTTATCATATTAGTTTCATAGTTTAATAATTAAATTCAAGAACAATTTTTACCATCTAAATTTTCAGAGAAGCAGCTGAGCATTTATTGATTGCCTTGAATCTTCAAGCTAAAACAAATCAGGACCCGGATATAAATAGTAGTCTAAGTGCATCAGCAATTAAAAGTAATAGTCAAATGTCTGAAACAATTTGGAGTACTTTAAGAATGGTGTGCAGTTTAAATGAAAGACGAGACTTGAGACCTGCTATTGAAGCAAGGGATTTAAAAGCACTTAATGAGGCATTCAATATGGAGTGAAAATATTTTATTATTTGTAAAAATGTTAATATTTTTTATAAATTATTTTATACTTTGGTTGATTTGTATATAGTTTATGATATGTATATATTTGTACATTAAAGGGTTTATGAAATCTTAAAATCCTTTTACTTAATTCTATTTTGTTTATTTTGGAAGTAAAATAATACAAATTTTTATATGAGTTGCGAAAAGCTTTATCAAATTATAAAACATTTGAATAAGCCGCCATTCAATGGCATGAAGTTCGTAATAAGTAAAGCGGATCGATTTAAAAAGATCGTGGTAGGTTATCTCGGTCACAGATGCAGTATAATAATCTATGGATTTGCGATGTTATTTTCAGACAGTACGGATCTGGGCATGATAAATATTAAATTGTTTAATAGTAACGTTGTGAACAAATTTAATAATGATGTGATTTAATTTAGATGTTAATAATATTAGTAAATTAATAAATTTCTATAACGAAGCCCACTGAAATCCATAAAATGTCTTATAAATATGTGATTTATTCTTATAAAAATTTGTGCAAAACAAAAATTGCCAAAAATGAAGTTATAAATATGATTTAGGTTAATAATAGTTATTTTAAATTGATATCGGTGATCAAGTTTGTGGAATTTGTGCCCGTGTAGTTCGGATTCAATTGTGCAAGTACAAGTTTGACATTAGCTGTCACGGTGTATATTAAAAGCAAGATGCCAGGATTAATAGCAATTTCTGAATTCGTCGATGAAACTAGGGAGGATTATAATTCTCCCACGACATCTACTTTTGTGGCTCGTATGCCTCAATGTAGACAAACATTAGTGACAATGGACGAGGTAAAATAATTGATTTTCAAAGCAAAGTTTTTCAATAATCCAATTCAGGCTTAGGAATTTGGAAAGAGGTCTTATTTCTAATCCTTTCGTCGTTATGCTTATTTCCTCCTTTTTATATTTTGTTGCATTTCTGAAAATCATTGCCTTTTTTTTCTTTGCTACACATATATTCCTAATTTGTCCGAGTTCTACAACTTATTATATGCTATAACACAAACCGTTATTAACAGCTGATAAACCATTTAATTTATCTGTATTATTGTTTTGTTTTAATTCACCACCATTCATTAAACTAATAAGTTTTTATCAATTGTCCTATAAGCTTAAATGCTAATTTTAGAAAAAAAACATAATTTTTCATAAAATATTCTACTGTTGAACTTGTCAATCGTTTTACAGATCTTTACATAAACTTGCAAGTATAATTTATTATTGCATTATTTTTATTTAGATTATTTAAACATGTCTCGTCGCCTTATATAATTTCAGTTACGATTGAAATGAAATATTTATATACAATAAATAAAACCAATTTCTTGATATATACACGTTTATTATATGTGTGTATGTAAGTGATGTATGTGTTTGTAAGCTACTAAAATCTGTTTCAAAGAAGAGAATATACTAATTTGTATAATTTATTTATTTGTTTAAAAATACTGTTAATTGCAAAGTCAATATTATTTTTATGTGACATTGACTTCACATACAAGAAGGCTATTGCGTTCAATAAATTTAATTTAAATTACTATTGCATACTGCTGGGTACATGTCTAATAAAATCCAATGTAAAATAAATTTAAGATGTAGCTAATGATATTTGTAATTCATGTCTTATTTGAAAATAGGTATATGATAATATAATTTTGACGAATTCACTCACTATTTTGCAATCGCAATTTCCTTAGCTATTAATCTCTTATTACAACAATTGAAAAATCTTTATTGTTTAACAATATTCGTTGTAGCAGAATTTATTCAAAACAATGAATAAAAAATATACTTAATTTATAGACAAATATATCTAATGTGCTACTAAGAATCTATTCATCACAATTAATAATATTGGTTGCGCAGGATATTGGCCTTGACTATTGCTGTGCCTTGTAGAACTGCTTTCTATATTACTAGTATTACAATTAGAGCCAGCATATATTTTAAAAATGTAAAATTATTGCTCAATTTGGAACAGATTTTCCTGAGATTGTCCATGTGATTAATGATATTTAAAAAATATCAGTATTAAACGAATCAAAGCACCGAGTTTGAACGTTACAAAATTGTTTACATTAACAAATATTTGCCTCGCCACCAACGTGAAATAATAATTGTTTGTAGTTAGTTCTGTGCTATCGCATATCTACGAATTTTGCTTAATTTATACATTATAAAACTATGAAGTGTTTTATACATTTCATCAACCATTTTACTATTAGTCAATACAAATTTGTAGCTAATTACATGCGCCAACACAAATGCCAAACTATCGAATATGTGTGAAGTATTAGTGATATTATTTATTTGTACACTTAACTTTTAGTGCATGTGCACTTATGATTTTAAATGTGTTAACGTTCTACTTAAGCGTTTTAACTAATACAAAATACATAAAAAAGATTCATAAATTTTATGAATTTTTTGTATGTTCTCTGTCTGAAATTCAGACTCTGAATCAACAATATAAAAGCATTTAGTGAAAAAACATAAAGACACAAATTAACAATTAGCGAAAAAAGTAACTACAGTCCTACTTAGGAAATTGGCTCAAAATTTTAAGAGCTACAGTCCTACTTAGGAAATTGGCTCAAAATTTTAAGAAAAGAATCATCAAACACCCTACTTAGGAAATTGGCTCAAAATTTTAAGAACTACAGTCCTACTTAGGAAATTGGCTCAAAATTTTAAGAAAAGAATCATCAAACACCCTACTTAGGAAATTGGCTCAAAATTTTAAGAAAAGAATCATCAAACACCCTACTTAGGAAATTGGCTCAAAATTTTAAGAAAAGAATCATCAAAAACCTACCGAGTTCCTTAAAAGTACTAAATTCGTCAAATTGAATGAATGATCATTATTAGTTATTTTAGACTTATTATTAGAATTAAGTTCATCTTATGTGAAATTTTCTTTAAATATTATAATTATTAACTTCCCTAAGGAGTAGTTTATGTTTCCATCAAAAAATCCGATTCGCTAATTTTATGTTTTCTCGGCGTTTCAAGCAATTCTGAATCGAATGAGACCAAATTTGGAAAAAGTATGTGTGTGTGTATGTGAACAGATTTGTTGCCGTAAATCCACGTTTTCTCAAAAACGGCTGAACCGATTCCAAAAATTTAAAAGCCATTCGATGTATCTCGATAAGGACTATCGTTTGTCAGTTTCGCGCTACGATCGGCCGAGCCATTTCTTTGTAAATCGCAGAAAAGTGAAAAAAAATTTGTCCACGTTTTAGCCCGCAATTCTGATTCGATTTTGAAAATTCAAAAACCGTTCGAAAGCTATTGGTTGGGAATCGTGCTGAATAGTTTTTGGTAGAGATCGGCCAGGCCGTTTTCTTGTAATAAAGTGTTAAAAAAAATTCGACGATTTTTATTATTATTTTTTTGACGATAGATACCATAGTCTTCTAGATCATACTAAAATATTACAGCCCTACGATATCTCAATGAGGACTATCGTTTGTCAGTTTTGTGAGACGATCTGCCCAGCCGTTTCTTTGTAATTTGAAAAAAAGTGTTAAACTTTTCGTCCACATTTAACCTCAAACTACCGAACCGATTTTAAAAAATCAAAAACTGTTCGAAAGATATTAGTTGAGAATGATACTGATTAGTTTTAGGTAAAAATCTACCGAGCCGTTTGTATTTGCTGTACAGGAGCTTATCTTGAGATATAGACCCAATTTTCGATTTTCAATTAATTTAATTTATAGTTAATGTAATTTCTGATTGCTAAATAAACGGATACTTTGTATACATTTGAATAGAAGAGTATCAACACAAATAACTTATACTGGCCAAGGTTGTTCTACCATGTTTTTTAAACGTCTCATATTATAACATAATTTGACTCTAAAAATAAATCAATCGCTCCTTAAGTGATCTAATGTAAAGTGATGCCTGGTAATGTGATAATTCCAAATGCCCTACTTTTCGTGAAGACAGAAAAAATAGAATTTTTATTTATTTTTGTTAGATAGAAGGGAGGATATAAATAGATAGCTAGGCGTAATTGGCATTTTGTCTTAAGGAAAGTTATATGGACTTCTCGACATGTGTAAGTAATCAACTTACTAATGTAAGGAATAGTCATTTATAAGTGTATCGAGTTGCTGTAGGACGTTATAATGTTAGAGACTATTACAGTTTGTTCAAAATTTAGCAAATTTTGTACACATGCTAGTTATTTTCGACAAATAGCTCGAATTGAGCAAAATATTGAGCATGACCTAATAGTCATATTATTCCAAACTTTTATGAATTTTATGAATTACTTAACGTAGGTCTATAATGTTTCAGTTTGTTTTTAAGATCATGAACACTATCAGTATGCAAAGTTTTATTAAAATCGTCAAAAATATAAGTGTTTAATAATTAATACATAAAGGTCAGTCATACCTTCACCAAAAACTAATCAGCACCTTTCCCAACTGATATCTTTCGAATAATTATTGAATTTTCGAAATCGGTTTAAGATATTGGCGAAAAGGCATTTTGCACTTATCTGTTAATGATAAAAAAATTGCAAAATATAAAAGCTCAGGGATTTTGAAATTTGTTTTTCCGGATTCTTCCATCAAATCGAGGGAATTGTAGAAATAAGAGTATTGAATATAGCGTTTTTTAATTGAAGGTTGATCTAGTGAGTAGCTGTTGGCCCAATTAATTCTGAATGATACACTTTATAATTTTATTTTTCTTATCGCGATATGGGTTATTGTTTCCGCACAAATACAGCTTTCTATTTCTTTACAGCCATTTAATAACTTCCGTTCTGATAAATATGTAATAATATTTATTATTATCAATGAAGTTCAATTGGCTGCATGATTTATAGTATAAATATGATATTTTGCGATAAAAGTTATTTTGCACTTTGGTCGTGAGAATAGTTATTTCTGTATATAAAAATAACATACACACCTATATATGTACTTTGCTGAAGAAACG